GCCTGCTTTCCCTGGGTGGGGCAGCCTGTGAGCTGTGCCCCACACGCCAGGGCAGCCTGGACCCTCTGGCAGCGGCTCAGACCCTGTCACTCAAGGGTGAATGGGGTGACACTGAGTTTGCGTCTGGGCTTGGCTGATGGGGACACACGCTGGGCCCCGCAGCATGGTGGGGATGTGGCTGCTGGCTGTGACCACCTGCTCTGTCCCTCCTTCTGCAGGGCCTGGCCAGCGCTGGGGAAGGACTCCAGGGGTCCAGGCCCACAGCTCCTGCACGCTCCCCGATGGTGCCACCCCCTATTGCCAGCTCTGCCCCTGCAGCAGCGGTGCCAGGCTGTGGTGCTCCTGCCAGGCTGGGGGGCGGGCGGGTGGAAAGCTCATCCCAGGGTCTGTCACCGCCCTGAACCCCATGGCCATTTAATCCTTCACCCATTAACTTGGACTAATAAACCTCGTGCGAGCGAGAGGCTAAAAGCCGTGCTTGCACCAGCACCGTCTCTGCCAGTGCCACTCCTGCTGCCCGCCATGGCAGGTGGCTTCTTCATCAGCAAGACCGTGGGCATCGTGGCCATCGTGCTGGGCCTGGGGGCTGTGGCCACCATCATTGCACTCTCGGTGGTGTACGCCCAGGAAAAGAACAAGGGGATATCAGATGTGGGCACCAGCACCACGGCCAGCCCTATCACCAGCACCAGCACCACGGCCAGCCCTGTCACCAGCACCAGCACCAGCACCCCTGCCCCCAGCAACCCCTGGAACAAATGGAGGTTGCCAGCCACGCTGAAGCCAGAGTTCTATGAGGTGTCCCTGCAGCCCTTCCTGAAGCCTGATGCCAACAACATGTACATCTTCAAGGGCAACAGCAGTGTGGTCTTCCTGTGTGAGGAAGCCACCGACCTCATCCTCATCCACAGCAAGAACCTGAACTACACCATGCAGGGCACCTTCCATGCCACCCTGCAGGCAGAGGATGGTGACACACTCCCTGCCATCTCCCGCACCTGGCTGGAGACTCCCACCCAGTACCTGGTGGTGCAGCTGAACGCTCCCCTGCAGCAGGGCAAGCGGTACCGGCTGTCCAGCAGCTTCACCGGGGAGCTGGCCGATGACCTGGCTGGCTTCTATCGCAGCGAATACACGGATGCCTCTGGCAACAGGTAGGTGGAGGGCAGGGGACAGGGTGGACGCCACAGGGCTGGTCCAGTGTGGTGGTAGGAAGGGGCTGGCACAGGGCAGTGGAGGGCATGGGCTGGTGTTGGGGCTCCTCTTCCACCAGGACCATGGGATGAGAGTGTGGAGCCTCTGTGC